ATACTTGTCGTAAGAGGTGACTAACGGGATCGGGTGGTCAGGTTGACTTGGTTGATGTATGTCATCGTGTCCCAATTGCGTGGATCGATGCTCATGATGTCAATCACTGGATTGTCTGGTCCAGACTCGATTATTTACCGACGGTCGTCATATAACTGAGAGCGGCGTTAAAACAACAAAAAAGTATCATTCATCCCGTTGAAGGTGCGTTTGGTGGTCTAGTGGTTAAGGAGAGTGTTCATCTCGCCAAAGGCTCGGGTTCAATTCCCCACATGGATACAATATGTGAAGCCCATGTTGTCTCCCGTCGTGATATTGCTGGAATATTGCAAGAAGCGGTGAAAACAATACACGCGTCAACCCAAAATGGTGACTGCTTCGTGAATTCTTAGTAAAAGTATTTTTAAGTGTCACGTACTTAGTTCACGTTGGTCCGTCTGAGACGTGCTCTCAACTTTGTCTCGTGAGATATTGGTCACGTGAGCTGTCGACCAAGGAACGCCCGGCTTGCACTATGACCTGACATACCTACCTGCCCGAAATACCTTGATGACTTGTTTGCTGCGGATCTAATTACGGTATTCAAGGTGTGGTTCGGCCTGTATCCAGTGTCAAATGAGGAAATATTTAGAAAGACGTAATAAAATTCTGAATCAGAATATATAATATAATGTCGTAAATATTATATACAATGACACTTCAAGACACCTGTCTCGCCATATCCGGAGGCGGGTCCGGGTGAGTGTGTGGGTTTTGGTGTGTGGGTGTGGGTGGATGCGTGGGTGTGGGTGGATGCGTTTTGGGTGTGCGGGTGGGTGTGGGAGTGTAGTTGGGTGGGTGTGCGAGTGGGTGAGTGTGCGGGTGGGTGAGTGTGCGGGTGGGTGGATGGGTATGTGTGAGTGTAGGTGGGTGGGTGTACGGTTGAGTGTGTGGGTGGGTGTGGGAGTGTAGGTGGGTGGGTGTGCGGTTGGGTGTGGGAGAGTAGGTGGGTGGATGTGCGGGTGGGTGTGTGGGTGGGAGTGTAGGTGGGTGCGGGTGAGTGTGTGGGTGGGTGTGGGAGTGTAGGTGTGTGGGTGGGTGTGGGAGTGTAGGTGGGTGTGGGTGCGGGTGGGTGGGTGTGCTTCAGTGTGTGGGTGTGTGTGTGTGGAGGGGGGGGGGGGAGGGGGGGGGGGCGTGGGTGAGTCACATAATGCATAAAATAAAATAATAAAATAATAACACCTCTGTATTATTGAAAGTAAGGCGAATCCATCAGTATCCCTAGCCTCCTGATCTGCTTATACCAGCACCGGAGCTCCGCCTCTGTTGGTCCACCCCCTCCATCTATCCACAGATATCGCAGATATTACATTCACAGTGATCTGCTCACTATATTAACTATCCAACCATCCACAAACCCACCCATCCTCACATCTACCTGGCTACCTCCGCCAGTTTAACTATCCACAAACCCACCCATCTTCCCATCTACCTGGCAACCTCCGCCAGTTTAACTATCCACAAACCCACCCATCTTCCCATCTACCTGGCTACCTCCGCCAGTTTAACTATCCACAAACCCACCCATCTTCCCATCTACCTGGCTACCTCCGCCAGTTTAACTATCCACAAACCCACCCATCGTCCCATCTACCTGGCTACCTACGCCAGTTTAACTATCAACAAACCCACCCATCTTCCCATCTACCTGGCTACCTACGCCAGTTTAACTATCCATAAACCCACCCATCTTCCCATTTACCTGGCTACCTCCGCCAGTTTAACTATCCACAAACCCACCCATCCTACCATCTACCTGGCTACCTCCGCCAGTTTAACTATCCACAAACCCACCCATCCTACCATCTACCTGGCTACCTCCGCCAGTTTAACTATCCACAAACCCACCCATCTTCCCATCTACCTGGCTACCTCCGCCAGTTTAACTATCCACAAACCCACCCATCTTCCCATCTACCTGGCTACCTCCGCCAGTTTAACTATCCACAAACCCACCCATCTTCCCATCTACCTGGCTACCTCCGCCAGTTTAACTATCCACAAACCCACCCATCTTCCCATCTACCTGGCTACCTCCGCCAGTTTAACTATCCACAAACCCACCCATCTTCCCATCTACCTGGCTACCTCCGCCAGTTTAACTATCCACAAACCCACCCATCTTCCCATCTACCTGGCTACCTCCGCCAGTTTAACTATCCACAAACCCACCCATCTTCCCATCTTCCTGGCTACCTCCGCCAGTTTAACTATCCACAAACCCACCCATCTTCCCATCTACCTGGCTACCTCCGCCAGTTTAACTATCCACAAACCCACCCATCTTCCCATCTACCTGGCTACCTCCGCCAGTTTAACTATCCACAAACCCGCCTTATATATATATATATATATATATATATACTACTCAAAAGAAGTTAAAGAACACCCGATTCTTTCATATTACTATAGTTAATCTGTCTTGGCATGTGAGATTAACTACAGTAATATGAAAGAATTGGGTGTTCTTTTACTTCTTTTGAGTAGTACATATTATAACTGCCCTCCGAGACTCATCGTCACAGACAATGCAGACACTCTTACACGATCACTCAGTTTCAAAGATTGACGCACGTGCAAAACCACAGAATGGAATACACGTGCATCATGCAAAGACGACTTTATTATTATTGCGTTTATATGCATGTGCATGTGTATCATATTTTATGTCTGCCGGTTGTTTACACTGCTAGCCCACTGAGACACCATGCCGCAGTTTCAACATGAATACCCAACTCAGACACAGAATTTTGGTGGTGAAGGTGAGGTGAAATGGGGTTTAACGTCGCGTCCAAGATTACTGCACTTATATAGCGACGTGCATGCGTGTGTGTGTGTGCGTGCGTGCGTGTGTGCGTGCGTGCGTGCGTGCGTGTGTGCCTGCGTGCCTGCGTGCCTGCGTGCGTGTGTGCGTGTCCGGACTGATGCCGATTTATAGTGGTAGCCCGCTGAAATACCATGCCGCAGTTTAACATGAATACCCCACACAGACACAGTATACTGACTCCGAGCCGACCAGTCCTTGTTTTAGCCCCTTAATGCTGAAGTGCATTACGGCGACGTGCATACATGTGTGTGTGTGTGTGTGTGTGTGTGTGTGTGTGTGTGTGTGGCTGCTTGTACTAGTCCGGACTAATCTCGATTTTATAGCCAACTGAGATACCATGAAGGACATAAGGTGAAATGGAATTTAACGTCGCGTTCAAGACCATAGCACTTATGTGGCGACGTGCATGCCGCAGTTTAACATGAATACCCTACCCAACGTCTTTTTGATATGACGGCCTGGGATCGAACCCCGGACCTTCCGCTCTACGGGCGGACGCTCTACCACTAGACCACGGAGGCGGTCCACAGAATTTTGACTTCAGTATTGACGTGTTTTAGCCCCTTGATACCGGCGGCCAGGGAGGTAAACAAGGCAACAAATACCATCTTTTAACTTATTAAGGTATGACGCCACCGGGGATCGAACCTCCTACCTTCCGCTCTCCGGGCAGACGCTCTATCCACTACGCCATGGGTCACAGACACCTCACCACCTGTGGGTATTCAATGCGGGAAAGGCCCGTGAAGACCCGAGGTAGAATAGGTCTTCAGCAACCCATGCTTGCCGTAAAAGGCGACTATGCTTGTCGTAAGAGGCGACTAACAGGTGGTCAGGTTCGCTGACTTGGTTGAAGCATGTTATCGATCCCAATTGCATGGATCGATGCTCAAGTTGTCAATCACTCAATTGTTTGGTCCAGACTCGATTACTTACAGACCGCCGTCATATAGGTGGAATATTGCTGGGTGCGGCGTGAAACAACAAACAAACAAAAATGCGGGAAAACGTCCGGTTGACCAGTAGTCGGTCCGTTCGTCAGAGTGGTCAGTAGCTCCGGGTTCGATTTCCCCCGAGGGTGATATGTGAACCCTAATTTTCGTCGAACCGCGAACTAATGTTCCAGCAATATTCAAATAAATATTATTTCATATCTACTGATAAAACAATATAATATATTACAGTAAAGTACGGTTATTACGAACTCAAAGGGACTACTAATTTTAGTTCGTTATAACCGTAGTTCGTTATAAGCATATATACAGCAGAACTACAGCAAATAGTCTGGACCAAAAAAGTAAGTTCGTTATATCCGTCAGTTCGATATAAGCGTGTTCGTTATAACCGTAGTTTAATGTAGATTATTTACAGGGATAGTTACTCACTAAGAACGCCTGTACTAACCTCACTCACTCACTCTACCACCCAACAGGATCATCTGTAAATGGCCAAGTGGTTAAAACGTTCGTCGTGCCGCAGACCCAGGTTCGATTCCCAGATAGGTACACTGTGATAAAAGCTCAGGCTTGGTTTCGCCCGCCGTGATATTCCCGGAATATTATCTGCAAACGCCAAGAAATACTTTAATGGTGACTTAACGTTATAGCGAAGATCAAAGAATACGTTGCATTACAAGATTATCACCTTGAAATCTGTAATCGGATATCACCTTATTTCATTTTTCCGAGATGCACTACAACTTGTCGTGGTTCAACTATTTGTACAACACCACACGGGCCGTGCGCTTATCGGAAAAGAGCCGCTTATGTTTTGCGATTTTTTTAATAAGGACTCGGAGCCTCGAGGAAAACCCGGCGTGCATCATATGCACCACATACAAGTATTCGTAAAAAAAACAGGCATATATACCCGCATCGGCATAACTACATGTTCAAAGGAAGACATTCATGTTTTAAATCAAATACCACATTCGGCGACCGGGTGGTATTGACATAGCGAATACATTCAGCATTGTAAAAATGGGAAATTATCAAATTTCACAGCAGTCAGTTTTCAAACGACAGCCAATTCCAAGAAACCACCCCTATTCAGTAACACAACAGGTAAACTCTGTTAATACACGTTGTGAAATGTCCCGAGACGGCCACGTGACTTATTCAAGCCGGGTTTTCAACGACAGCTTATTTTTTAGTCCGCCGAGATTGGTCGACGCTGACATTGTTCCCGCGTTATAACAGGGTAGGAGGGGTAAGGAGTGGCGACAACGTGAAAGATGGGTTCGTTCTACGTAAAGACCGTCCACATTCATTAATACAATGACAGTTTAATACAGGCCCTGAGTAACTCGCCGGGTAGATATTTGAACGCACACCCGGAGCTATGACAGAAACTCGATAACAGCGAGTCATTCATAACGGGAGCTGCTTCTGTGGGAATATTCATACAAGGATTACACCTGAGCATAGTGGGCGGCCTTAGCGTTTCCTCTACAGGTAAGGCATGCTGTTTATTGCTTTAACATTTCTTATCAATGTAGGTTTCGGACACTTGGTTTTATTTCTGATAAAGATTACATTTTTTCAGTTTAGAATTTTTTATCGGTTTATCACGATAGCTGTGGCACTGTTTCGGGATAAACATCGAACACTTATTTGTTGATTGCAAATTTCGTGTACGCCACGGCAACATTTATTTGAACTTTCACTCCTTTCTCCTCAAATTATTTTGTCGATATGAACTGTCGTCCTTTATAGTACATCGTCTCAAACAACCGGTGTTGTTGTTGTTGGTGGTGTTGTTGTTGTTGTTGTTAAAATGTCACATGCCTACCATTGTAAACAGACAATACTTGGAACATTCTGGAAAAAAATAATATTCTTAATTTATATATATTACCCCTCGGGTATTTCCAAGCCAATACGGTGGCCAGTGGTGACTGTGACGTTTCTATGTAGCTTTGTTGATGTGTGTATTAACACTTACTTGCTCAAGACAGCTCTACTTCAAAAGGCCAATTATGATCACAGAGTACATAACTCAATACGCACAGGTCAACGTGAAGGCCTCCATGTTGACAGAAGTAAGGTGTTTGTGTCGGTGGCAGGCTTAAATAGACACTTGTATGGCTATTGCATTGAAGCGTCCCCCGTACATTAAGGGGTAAGTGGCCCTTACTTTAGAAAGTACATGCTCGTCATCAAGACGCTTTACTCAAATATGACATAAATGTTTGAAGTAAAATTCCGCGTGTTCGGTTCCAAATTAGCGCGGTTAAATCTACAGGTAAGCTAGCTCTACCTTGAAAATGCACCCAGTACAATGGTGTCAGGTAACTTCTATTCATTTCCTTGAGGACATAATTAACGGGGTGGTAATTCCGTTAGCTAGAGATCGACTTATGGTAGATTTATTACATGTTCAAAAATATTTAATTAAAAATGGATGTGTGAGTGTTTAAATTTGAGTATAAGCCGAGATATGTAAGGACGAGGGACACCCGGAATGAATTTCACCCATGTTCCCATGCGGGATCGAACTCGGGTCGGCGGCGTGGCGAATGCCCTCTTTGTCCACTAGGCTCCCCAACCGTCCCGCCAGTCTCTGGAAGGGATGACATTAGAGCAATAATACCGCCAGGTGGCACATTTACCAGTTAATGCCGAACTTGTCCATTTCCCGCCGGTTTCTATGTCATGTGCCATAGTGAGTGAAATTATTATTACTACTTTTTTTCTTTTCTTTTTTCGGGGAGGGTGGGGGTGTGGGGGTGGGGGTATTTCTTATTTATTTGCTTTATATTTATAGTTTGGGCTGCATGTTATAATTTGTTGTTAACTCTCTCTCCCCTCCTCCCCCCGATCCCGTCCCCCACCCCTTTTCCTTCTTTTACATATTAAGGGCCAACGGCCAGCGTCCGCTCATCAAGTTTAGGTCCCAGGTTCGATTCCCATCAGCTACAACATATAAATATCGTTATTCGCAGCATCAACAGTTTTCTCTCATTCATTTATTTAAATAATAAACACGTATACCAATAAATAAAAGCGACAAAATCATTTCAAACCCGACACAACCATCAACCTTGAGGTCGTGTGCATGTGATTGGGCGAGTTTCAGCGGGCAACTGTGAATCCTGCTTGTAGCCCCAAGCGACTGAACTAGTTGATGATAACCTCACTCTTTACATTAAAACGGACAAATAATGACACTTAACAGGTTTGTACCCTTTGTCGTGTCATCACAAAGTACAACTGAAGCGTCCAACGTAATAGTTTCTCAGTGGGTGTTCCGCGGCAGTTCCCCAGCAACCTTGTTTGTTGTATGGGGCGATAGAGTGGATCGGGGGGCCACGCTCGGTGTATTGATTATGTGTCATCGTAACCCAACTGCGTGTTCATAATATCAATCACAGGCCGCCGTCATATAGGTGGAATATTTCTGAGTGAGGTGTTAAGTGTAGTATTCTTTCTGTTTCCAAGCACACGTCACATTATTAAATATCACAATACACAGGATAAGACCAGGAAAGTAGGTGTCGAATGCAAGCAGAAATATTTAATGTCTTTTTTTAAATTACATTTTCTTTTTTATTTATGTTACATGAATCATATTACATAAATAAAATCAACAAATTGCAAATATGACATCCAGGACCAATGACAAAAGGAGAAGCTTATGTTGTTCCGTGATCGATGAAAAGTCATAAACTGGTAAGATAATTTATGACTGGCAAGATCCGGCCTTGTGGTCTGGGAGACGCACGTCTCCCGTCGCCTGGCAACAAACAAGCTCTTACTCTACAATCAGGATAATTCAAACTTGGTTACACTACAACATGACGTGGGAACAAAGTAATGACGATATTGGTTTGTTTGTTTGTTTGTTTGTTTGTCGTTTAACGCCGCTCTCAGAAATATTCTAGCTATTTGACGGCGGTCAGTAAATAATCGAGCCTGGACCAGACAATCCAGTGATTGACACCATGAGCATCGATCCATGCAATTTGGATACGATGACATGCATCAACCAAGTCAGCGAGTCTGACCACCCGATCCCGTTAGTCGCCATGTGCGATAAGCATATTCGCCTTTTACGGCAAGCTTGGGTTGCGAAAGACCTACTCTAAACCGGATCTTTATGGGTCTGGTTTCCAAGTAGGTTTCATATGTAAAATGTATAGAAATAACTTTCCAAAGACCCAGATATCCATACGTTCAATGTATATCTAGCGGCCTAGTAGCCCAGATGAAGTTGCATCCCTTTATTGTGCCAGGATCCGCTGGACGAATCCAAAATTCGTCCCGTTAATGACCCGTCAACAGTCAGCATGGTGCCATGGTCCTGTGTTTATCCAAGTGGTGAACACCTGACATGCATCACGTGCCTCCACACGAAGCTGACACGCTGTGATATAACTGAAATACTGTTCAAAGCTGCGTTCAACATTTCTAATTCAAACAACCAGCGCACGAAATCAATAAACCCCAGAATAATAGCTCCTGTGGTTTAGTTCATAGGACACACGTTATAGGAATAGCACATGAATATATCAGTGTCCATACGACCTTTTTATACTAAAGAGTTTCTATTCTTTATTAAGCCGTCAAAACTGATACTGAATAGTCTGAATCTGATCTGTATAGGACGCTCGACCCGTCAACACAGATCAATATGTGAAGATTAAGCTGGTGCAGGAATGTGTGTATATTCATCCAGAACGTCGTCTCTTACACACAACAGCACTGTTTACTATTACCATACTGCTGAGTATGCCGGGTTTAGATTACAACAAAGTATCTATTGCACTCGATAAGAAACAATCCGGCAAAAAGATCAGTTCCAACAGTGAAGATAATATTTAAACTGTGGCTGCACAGAGCAAAACACGTTGTACGGCTCAGGGGGTGGTCGGGTAGCCTAGTGGTTTAAGCGTTCGCTCGTCACACCGAACACCCGGGTTCGATTCCCGACATGGATACAATGTGTGAAGCCCATTTCTGGTGTCCCCCGCCGTGATCTTACTGGAATATTGCTAAAAGCGGCGTAAAATCATACTCACTCACTTGTACGGCTTAGTGTCGTTGTGTTTGTACTCAGGTGATTATTCTCCGTATACATGTTGTACAGCTTAGTGTCGTGGTGGTTGTACTTAGGTGATTATTCTCCGTATACATGTTGTACAGCTTAGTGTAGTGGGAATTGTACTTAGGTGATTATTCTCCGTATATATGTTGTACAGCTTAGTGTAGTGGTGGTTGTACTTAGGTGATTATTCTCCGTATACATGTTGTACAGCTTAGTGTAGTGGTGGTTGTACTTAGGTGATTATTCTCCGTATATATGTTGTACAGCTTAGTGTCGTTGTGGTTGTACTTGGGTGATTATTCTCCGTATACATGTTGTACAGCTTAGTGTCGTGGTGGTTGTACTTAGGTGATTATTCTCCGTATACATGTTGTACAGCTTAGTGTAGTGGGAATTGTACTTAGGTGATTATTCTCCGTATATATGTTGTACAGCTTAGTGTCGTTGTGGTTGTACTTAGGTGATTATTCTCCGTATATATGTTGTACAGCTTAGTGTAGTGGTGGTTGTACTTAGGTGATTATTCTCCGTATACATGTTGTACAGCTTAGTGTAGTGGTGGTTGTACTTAGGTGATTATTCTCCGTATATATGTTGTACAGCTTAGTGTCGTTGTGGTTGTACTTAGGTGATTATTCTCCGTATACATGTTGTACAGCTTAGTGTAGTGGTGGTTGTACTTAGGTGATTATTCTCCGTATACATGTTTAGTGTAGTTGTGTAAAAAGTTATTCAATATTTGTCAAGTATTTTGTTGTTATATCAACGCTTATATGTATTCTTCTGGCTTAGGGGCGGTCGGGTAGCCTAGTGGTTAAAGCGTTCGCTCGTCACGCCGAAGACCCGGGTTCGATTCCCGACATGGGTACAATGTGTGAAACCCATTACTGGTGTCCCCCGCCGTGATATTGCTGGAATATTGCTAAAGCGGCGTAAAACCATACTCACTCACTCACTCACTCTTCTGGCTTAACATTGTCATTTGAAGTTCATAATGAAATCACCTCCCAAAATATGAGATCAAAGGCAGAGGTTATCCCACCCCACACATAATCGATTGGTTTAAGTCCTAGGGTAAAAATAATATATTTCTTACAATAGTGCTATTCAGCAATATCTTTGTTTCTTAACAGGAAATACCCACTGAGGTTGTTCAGTGTGATTACGACATTACATACAACGGATACCTTTCATCAAAGTCTAAACACTAATTGAGTTCGTGACTGAATGCTTTGATGTGTCAGTGATACATGTAAAACGTGACGGTGAATCACAACATCCTTGTTCTGCAGGATACCCGTATCAACTGCCTGATTCATAAATATCTATCCCCACCCAAAATAAAATTACACAATTTAGAAATATGTTTCATAATTGAAAACTACCAATTTGGTTGGTATTCATCGGC